AAACCGAAGCCAAAACCAAAGACTGAGGCAACGAACTTGAAATTGAAAAACCAAAGAGCAAAAACAAAAGAACAGCGCTGCGGCGCTGGAAACTTGACAACGATAATGGCCAAGATGATGATCATGATGATGACGATGGCGTAATGTACAAATCTGTGAAGTACGTGTTGTTGAGTATCGTATCCAACTCGAGTCCGCGGTCCCCAGTCCTCGCTTCGCGGCCAGCGTCTGTGTATGGGACTTAATATATGAGTTGGGTAAACGCTGCCAGCACGTGCTTGAAACGAGCGTCACTGTATATTACCACAAAATTATAGCGGTTTGCAATAAGAGCCACAGCCGCAGCAGCCGCAGCAGCAGCCACAGATGCTGGATGCTGGATGCTGGACGCCGGAGCGATGATATTTAGTTTTGCCTAGAAGCAGCCAGCCAGCAACGTAATCGATAACCAGTTCCGAATTGCGGCAATGAAACCGAAAGCGGAAAAGCCAACCCAGGTCTCTGTACTCGCCACTCAGGCACTCGGCTCTCGGTTACCAGCTAACAGCTACCAACTGCCAGCTCTTAGCCGGGCTCAAATCGGTTCCGAGGCGAGCCAATGAGCCGTGTGCCAACTGCACATGCTCGCACGCTGAAATTATTACGCTAAATTGGCCAAGAGCCCGACGAGCTCTTACCGCCTTACGGTACTCGTGTTCTTCGACAGCACTTGCGGTCGCCGCCCAGAGATGCAAAATATGGGAGTATCGGGGAAAGGTGCACTGGGGTTCAGCTCAAAGCGAATGATTGATTTAAGTTAAGTCTTAAATAAGTTCAGTGTCGGGTCTGGCAGAAGTAAATCACAGCAAGTTTGGGCCTACGATGAGCTCATAAAACTGTTGGGCTTTGAGTTTACGAGGGTCGTATTTTTTGGCTAAGCTGTTCAAAGAGTTTCCTGGTAGCTAGACTGATTTAAAGATTTAAACTAAGTGATTGAGTACAATGGTAATCAGTAAATCACTTTTTATGTTGCTAATCTAAGATTCTTTTAAAATATACATAAAAGAAGTACAATTTTAATCAATAAATCAATATTTATATAGCTTTTCCAAGTCAAACTTTTCACTAAATAAAATGCACTAAAAATCTATCTAAACAGGGTTTGCTTTCTTCCTCAAAAATAAGTTAATTCTAAAAATTGCTTCTTTATTCCCAGCCCCATAATAGGGCCTTGTTATGCAATTCTACGCAACTTAACTTTAATGTAAATTGAATTGTAGCAATTTGAAGGTCATACGCCCTTAACCGAAATATGCAAATTGCCAGCCGAGAGTGGCTGCCATGTGAAAAACGCTTTTCTTCCGCCTCGAAATGAGAGAGGGAAATGGGAAAAGCTCCGCGCCGCAGTTCATGACAATGAACTCTAGCCGAGTGTGTGTGTGTGTGTGTGTGAGTCTGGGGAAGTGAGACGGGGAGTTGGCTTAGAACGAACGTGGCCAATTAGTTATAATGCTGCTTCGTGATATCACAACATCTGGCAACTCACTCTCGCAGAGCCCAGACAACGGCAGAAACAAGAACCTTTGGCGCTGCAGCCAATAAGGAAAATAGGAAAAAGCAACGCTCGCCGAAGAAATTACTCAAGTCTGCAAAGTATGTAGCAGAAAAAAGACCAGAGAGTGGATACAAAAAAAAACGAAAACAAAAAAAACAACAACAACAACAGCACAACAAAGGCGAACAATGACAATCTGCACGTAGCAATCAGTCAACGGCAGTTGGTTTAACTTTAACTTGTTGCCACAGCCAGATAGAAGATACTGGGCTCCGTAAGGGTAAGGAAGCAGATGCCTCTGGGCCCAAGGGGGAAGCTACTCTGAGCCGACAAACTGCAAAATGCAAAACGTGGCTCTGGCTCTGGCTCTGTGCCTCTCCTCCCTAGAGATGGGCAATTTTAATGAATTTTCCCCCGGCCCGGTGAAAGAGGCAGAAATAATTAAATGCAAGTGAGGAAAAGTAAAAACGGCCGAGGCGAGCAGCACACGGAAAGGTGAATTAAAAGTGAGGAAATAATGAAGAAAGAATAAATTGCCACAGTTTAAATGGCGAATAATTTATAAAAAGAATTTCTAAACCAGCCGGAAAAACATGCTTCGGGCATAAACCACATATATCTCTAATAGCCGCAGGAACTCATAACTTAAAATGGTTTTAGAATTGGAGAGATAATAGTTGCCTTGTGAATGAAAGTATTTATCTTTGAGAAATTCTTAATGTAAACCACAGAAAAAGAAGCTGAAAAATGTATAAATTATAACAAAGTATTTATAATAAATTGAGTGCCATTTGTTGCTAAAAAGTTTTGTGGTTTTTAAGAAATACTTCTTCTTTCTTTTCTTTTGAAATTATTTTTTTTATTTTTGAATTTATTCTAAAGAATTATTCATTTCCCAAAAAAATAATGAATAATCATTCCCTAAAAGGATTCACTTTTTATGCTCCAAGAATCTTTATTTCTCTTTAGAATTTATGATAATAAAATTCATGAAAATATTCTCCCACAAATGAATATTAACAATTACCTCTAGATTATGATAATTAAGATTCAGAGTCACGTACTCCACCGATCTGCCATCTCTAGCCCCATAGAAACTGAGAATTTCCACAGGCTCTGGCCGCCCCCACACACTCACACTCTCACATGCTCACTTACCCACACCAAGGCAATGCGGAACACGCACACGGATGCCAAGCTCCCGGGTCTGGTCATACATATTTGCACTTAATTAGCGTTTTTCGTTACATTTCGTCTCGTTTCGTTTGGCGGCTGACAGCTGGAAAATGCAAGCTGGCTGGAGAGCCGGGTGTTAAAGCCACTATTTAATGCTGGCGCACATAATTCATAATGGCCAAATCGGCAAATGAGCTGACAGCAAAAGAAATTCTCGGCCAAAACGGAATTAAGCCAAATTTAACGCTTCAGCTGATGGCTGTAGCGAGCAAACTAGTTTCTTTTCTTTAATGCAAAAGCCTAGGCTCAGATACAGATGCAGATGCAGATGCAGATACAGATACACCGACACTCGTGCAATTTCATTTTCTGACACATAATTCCAGATTCGCGGCAGGAGAAGCAGAACAGAAGTCGCTTCGCGGCGCATAAGAACAAGCGGGCTTAATTGCAGTATTTGTTCTGAGTTAATTAGAAAAGCAGGAAAAGAGGCCAGAAGGCCGGGGTTGGGGTTGAGGCTGGGCTGGCATGGCATGGCATGTGTGTAACTGCTGCATTTAGCACTGTCAAGAGTTCAGATCCCGCGGCAGCAGATACACCGCCACCGTCAATGCCACCGCTTTTCCAGCCTCGTTTTCCCTAATCTTTTTTTTGGTCGGTTTTTCGTGTCATTAACACAGTTTGCCACACTCGTTTCATTGGCGGCTCGCCGGAGCTGTTGAAAATATAATAATAATAATAGTAATCGTGAGTTATAACCCCCAGCTGCCTGGCTGATTGGCTCACATTTGTTAGGCTTTTGGCCGGCCACAAATGGATATGGGTTCGGGTCCAGGCCCAAACTGGCTGCTAATTATGACAAGTGTATGAAAGTTATAAATAGCCGAACAATTAAGGCCGGCTTCTTATCTAAAAGGGAAACTGGATTCTGCGGAGTAGGGGGTAAATCACAAAAAAAATATATGCATAAACTTGAACTGGTTTTATTATTATAAAATCGTACAAGAAAGAGAGAGAATTGCACAGACTCTGGCCTAGCATTGCAGCTGCGGTAATAACGAAGACTTTTTACGATTTACCCCTGGGAGTTTCAGTGGCTCGGTTTTATTAACCCTTTGGGATCCATGAAGGTCACCGCGAAATGGGGAAACGAGCTCACAGACGAACTATTTGCAAATCCAACACAAACCAATTAAGATGCCAATGAAAATCGTTTAGGTTTATTTTGTTTTGCCCAATAACCACCATCCACAAATGGGAGCTAAAGCAGAAAATCAGAGTTAAATACAGTCCCGCGTGCGACTTTCTCCATGGCTTGAGGGTGTAGAGTTAACCCATTGACATGAAATCGTTTGGCATCGTTAAGATCGCCGTAAACCATAAATTGGCCGGCAAAAGTGTGAAATATGGCAAGGTAATTTCCACGGATTTGGGACATCTGCTGCTGCTGCGTTGGGTATTGGGTTTGGGCTAATTATGGCTGGCCCTGGGCAGAAGTTGTGACATCTTCGCTGATTTATCCATGAACATATGGCTAAGACTTGGTTTTAAGCTTCCTTGCACTCATAGCACATGAAAAATATCCGAAAAATATTTTTATATATTTATGATTATTTTATTTTGTTTACTTCTTATTTGTCATGTCATGCATACTCGTACACACATCAAACAAAAAACAACCGCCAACAACCAACAACACAACATTCATCGACAACATCAACAACGAACCCCAAAAAACCCATCATCATCATCGTCATCGTCATCATCATCGTCTGCAACGACAACTACATCCCCATCCCCATCCACCTAATCCCCCCAATATCTACCTCCTTATCGTAACATTTCCTCCATCTTCGACCCGAAACTTTGTCAAACATAATCAAAAAATTCTCGACACGCTCACGACACACACTCGCACACACTTGCATATGTCATTACATAATTTTTTTATTCAACTCCATTTTGGTTATTATATTCATCAATCATGTGGAACCTTTTTTTCTTCATTTACTCATTTGCGGTTGACTCTTTTGGTTTTGTTTCCGGTATCTGTGCCTTTTCGAAACTTGAATGAATTTACATTTATTGTCAAAAAACCAATAATTACTGTACATATATATATATATATATTTATCCTATAATATTACGAATCTGTGTGTGTGGGTCACGACTGGTTTTGTTAATGGTTTGGTTACTTTACTCACGGCTCTGGGACTACCCACCGCACACGCACCCGCACCCGCACACGCACCTACACCTCCGATCCCTGGTATCCACCGTCGACCACCAGATCGGGTTGCTCTGGTCACCGCCGCACCGCCGAGCTATACGCGTATGTATCACTACTTTCCAGCACACCTGAGTCCGCACCCGTTCTGCTATTATCCACCCGCACCACCGCCCCCACTGCCACCGCTGCCGCCGCAGCCACCGCCACAGCAGCAGGCGCACGCCGCACCGCCCACGCTCACGCCGCTGACCCTCAAGCAGCTGGGCAACTCGCTAACCTCCATGACACAAGCGGCGCAATTGGCCAAAACGTTGCGCTATGCGCCAGGTAATGTACAAACTAGTGGTTACAGTTATTAACCTTTTTTTGGGATATTAATTAAATCGTTTTTATGCAAGGGAAACTAATTTAAAATGGTTTAAACGACAGTGTTACTACCCTGGCATACAAACGATATTATACTTAAAATTAAACCCATTTACCAACAATTTAAGATCCTTAAACCTACCAAAATATCCTAATATATGTTCCTTCATATACTTATTAATTCCCAGGCATGTTTATACGACCCGACGAAACGAATCTCTACACGACGCTGGAGCCCACGTTGAGCAGCAACCCGAATGTGTACTTCCAGCGCAGCGGGGCCGTTCATCCCGGCATCCTGTACTAAGCTGGACAGAAGGATGTCCTTTAGCAGGACATCGCTATGAAAGTACCGAGCATCGAGAACACTGGAACTGAGTATTTTTTCACCTAACATTAAGTTACGGCTCCCAAGGAGCAGCAATAAGCGAATTGATATATTCCCCGATCATTTCACATAGTGTAATATTTTTGTCATAATTTCTAAGCGCCGTGTGCATCTAGTGTAAGCCACATCGACCTAGTTAGTTAAGGATCAGACTCGACCTGGACCCGGGGACGGGAATTTTGATAGATTCCCCGACACGATGCAATAGAACTGCGAGGTGTAGTAGTCCTAGTTAACCCAGTACACTGGTTAAATTCCACACTCGAGATTTAGCGACACGATTTTATTGCAATAAGTTCAAGAGCAGCTGGCTTCGATTCCTACCTAATGTTATCTTGTTCGGTTTGTGATTTAAAAGTAAACTTATCTAAAGAATCTAAACTAATCTATAGAACTCTGTCCCAGCTCTGCTTTTGAAACCACTCACGAGAGCGGGCGTTGGACATTTTTGTATACGCAATGTTGACAGGCAATTGCAGATCATAAATACCCAAGACCTTTGCCACGATGTAAAGATCATGTTGTCAGATGCTGTAAAATATTCATTTTAAAAACTAGAACTAGAAAAGAGATTATCAGAGTTCCCTTGGAACTGTCAGCATTGTGTATACAGATGTTTCAGCCCTGCGAGCACTCATATACCAGTAAGTAATAGGCTTAATAAACATTTGTCTAGCCAAGTAAAGCGATCGCTTAAGCAAACACGAAATGTTGTACATATAGCAATGGCCCCGAGCACAACCACAACACACACACACACACACACGACTCCGAGCAAGCCAATCTCAATAAAAGAAAAACAAAAACGAATAACAACTCTCAATTGCCACACACAGGAACATGGACATCATCAACGATGACGATTACAATTAAGTATAATTGCAAATTATTGGCATAGCAATGCCTATTAACGCCTGCTCGGAGCGCAGAGCGACCAAGGAAGGGGGATCGGGTTCGGAATCGGTATCGGAATAGGGATCCCTTCCAGAGCAGCGAGATCTAAGCATGGGGAGGATTATTGGATGCCGACGCGGCGCTGCATGTTTCAAATAATTTGTTAACGCCTTTAAGATTGCGATTGGTTCGAGATCGGGATTGGGTGCAGCAGCTCCGGCATTGCTGTTTGGAATAGATAAACGTCCCACTATTATCGCCAGCAATTCCCATTGCAAGACACGACGACGCCTCTGCCTGTGCCTCTGACGACTTGACCCCATATATGGCAAGTGCTCCTCGGCCCGGTCTTGTCCAGTGCATGCCGAGGGCGTGTTCCGCCAGAGGATGCGGACGGAAGGAGCCTCTTCATCCTCACATTAATTAAGTGCAACAATGCGGTGCGGATAGAGTGGCAAAGGGCGGCGGCCAAGGAGTAGCAGGGGGCGGGATTGGGAGGATGGAATGGGAATGGGATGGCAACATTCACATCCACATCTCCAGGCAGTCACATCGTTCGTATTAATGACATTTCTCACGAACATTTTACCAGAGCAGTCAACACAAGGAGCTCTTGTCTAGTCGGAGGCACTGGGAGAAAATGCTTGTGAGTTGGGGATGAATGAAAAAATCAAAATAGTAGGTTAAAAAATAATTTAAAGGGTGAGTATAGTAGAAAAGGTACAAGTTGCAGGGGAATATAAATAGTATTCAGGGATCCCTCAACCCTTTTTTCGGTCAGTGCCCTCCCTGACTCGAGTCCAGCGGCAGGGTCCAGTCCCAGTCCCAGAATCTGTTTCTCTCTGCCGCAGTCGCCTCGCTTCAATTAGGCGCGCCTTCAAATCACAAGTCAATCAAAGTTGTTAGATTTGCCGTCCTCGTCGTCATCGTCATCGTCATCGTCCTCGTCATAGTCATAGTCGTGGTCTTGTGGACTCGGACATTGCATCGTGGTCGCAGTCGCCATCGCTGGCGGGTTGACATCTCCTGACATGGCACACAATGTTGCAGCAGGAGAGCCAGAATCGAGAATCCAGAACCTGGACCGAGACCGGGAACCCAGTATCCCAAGATGCCTGGAGGCGGCAGCATCAATTACAACATCCATGACAGGCACAGCGTGAAATGTTTGTACATTTCTTGGCGGCGCTTCCGAGGGGACCAATTAGCCCTAAGTAGGCATTTCAAATAGACTCCTGCAATTAGCCAAAATCGAAGCCAACAATTTCATCACAGACCTCGCCATCGGCCAGTCGTCTTCCATCCACCACTTGGCATTCCGTCCCATTCCGCGCCCAGGCCCATCATCGGCATTGCCACTATCATTATCATTATCCATCGTTATCAATATGTCCATCGTTGCAATTTATTTGATCAATCGATTGTCGATGCCCGCTACCTGCCCTACACTACACCTTCCCACAAACAATCGTCGTCGTCTTCCATTTCTGCGAGTATTTCCATCCTGGACTCCCAGAGGCGTACCTCCTGACGTGCTAATGGCGTTTTGGTAACGCTTTATGGCATAATGGGTATTAGCCAGCAAACACGATCGCCAGCCATCAAATGTGGCTGAGGGCAAAGCCACCGCGATGGAGATGGACTTTGGAGAAATGTAAGAGTTTGTTGAGATTAAACATGAATAAGAAAGTGAAATAAGATTAGGGAATTAATTAAAATAGATAGGGTTTTATAGGACTAATATATATTTAGTTTTTTGTTTCATAAGAGTAAGAAATGTTCTATTTATTTTAAATACATTTTCTTGAATTTTAAATTAAGGTGAGTGTTTAAAAAATTTTGGCAAATACCATTGCCTACCTTAAGGCTTCATAAAGGGGAAACTTAGAGCTGCCTCTTAAGGTTTTACTTTTTTATTAATATAAATTATTAAAATTATAACAATTAGAAATTACAAATTATTATAAACTTTTCTTTTTTATTTAAATGAGCCTTTACCTTAAAATTATAGATGAAGCAATGTAGTTCGTCTGTATACTTTCCAAGCTTTAAGGTTTCTTCAAACCATTTTTTTACTCATTTATCTTTAAATAACTTTATTATATTGAATTGAAAATTATTAATATAAGATCAAATATTATTTTATAAAATACTTTTCTGACAAAAACAATATTAATTTTTAAGATATTAGTCTTATTAAGTTCTAACCCCTTAGTAGCTCAGCTCTGAGACTACATAATACTCAATCAGCATTATCGATCTCATGAAGCCCTAACGAAAATCAGACCCGACCCAGACGCTCCATCTGCTACAAAGTTTCAAGGCAAATTATAGCAATAGAGGCCAATAATTTGAGGTGGCCAACTCGGGCAACTCTCGATCTTGGCTGCCTCACTGTCTCATCTCCAATGTCTGGCCGACTGATGATCGTCGATGCCCGCGGTATGAGGGATCTCCCGCTCCAGCTGCAACTCCATCTCTATCTGTATCTGCATCTGCGGCTCCGTCTCCGACTCCATCTCCATCTCCATCTGCGGAGTGTTGTCTGTGCCGCCGTCTAGTCTTTTTTTGGCCATAATAATTCGCGATCGTTGTTCGTTTGTTGGGGGCATGTGGCGAGTGTACGAGTAAATTAAATTACTCGCCCGGCCGCGCCATTAACCGTAACATTATCCTTCAATGAATGGGGGCTGGGCGGCGGCGGCGGATAGTATTACAGCTATTATTGTGGTGCAAATGTTATGACCGCTTTATGCCATAGAGAGTGCAGACCGAGGGCCCCAAGGGCAGCATCACGTTGCTGATTTGATGGGCTTTTCTTGGGAGGCAGAGAGCCGCTGTGTGCTGTGTGCTGGAAGCTCTGCGATCGCCGCCTGATAAGCTGGCAACTGGTAATGCGTGCATTGACCGCTCAGCTCAGCTCTTGAATCTCGGCTCTTGGATCTGGGGCCCTGAAGCGCTGGCGTTGACGCAACTTGAAATTAAATTTGTGCGGCTGCCCAGAGAAGAGGGATGCCTTTGCAGTACAGTTAACCTCGTTTAAGTGAGCCACGCACTGCCAAACTGCGACGCCCGCAAGGGGGCCAGGTCCAATTAACAGTACCCAGTAACCATTGCCAGCTCCCAGCTCCCAGCTCCAACCATGTTGCAAAGGAAGTGGCGACGCAGGCCCAGCCAGCGAACCCAGAGTCACAGTTTTGTCGCATGCTCCTGCTTAAAGCATAAGTATAACTTTGCCAACTGGTTCTGGGTTCGCTGCCAACACCTTTTCCGAGGCAGTGTTGGCAGGATTCGAGGGGCAAGTAAGCCAGATTTATCAGGGTTTTATATAAGCATATATGTATGTTTCTTAAAGGGAAAAGAAAAAATGAAAACCCCTTAAAACTAATCTAATATTTTAATATTTTCATTTATAAAGACATTTTTATTATTTTAAATAAATTCTTTATTTATTAGTACAACTTTCTTGATTTTTAAAAATATCTAGAGAGGCACCACTGCTCCCATGCCCCGGCTTTAAGAACCGGCAGACGGGGAAGCCGAGGCTGAAGCTGCTAGCACGACAACCCGGCATACGAGTTTATAGCGGATGCGTAAACGTAAACGCATTTGGCTCAAATGCCGTTAGGGCCTTTGACTAAATTGCATGGCACATGGGCCCCTTGGGCTACAGATTTCAGCCTTGTCTCAGCTCGGCCGGGATGTGGTTCTGGACCTGGACGTGGACTTCGGCTTCGGCAGCGGCATCGACATTGGCATCTCGCTATTTGCTATTTGCATGTGTGTCTGGTGAGACGCCAGGCCGGCAACAAGATTCTCCCATTGACATTTTGTCTCGTTCCCCTGATCCTCCACTGAAATCGCTGAATGTTAATGCATTCGATCGAAAGCCGCCCAGATCGCAGCCTCAATTCCAGAGGAGCAGGAGGCGGAGGAGCGCTGCTGGCATCCCATTTGACGTAATCAAAACAGCAACAGAATGTGGGCAACCCAAAAAATGTTCTGGGTCATTGATTTCTTTCTTTCGCTATCCGTGGATCTTAACGGTTCCCTCCACTATTTCGTAATGGGCCAAGATCAATGTACCAAAGTGGATTCAGATTCAGTTGCTGCGGCTGCGCAGTTGAGCGCCCGCTGGAGTGTCTTAGCCTTCCCTTTTTTGTGGAGAACACGCAACTGAGCCCCCATTGATTAAATAACCATGGACCAAATAATGAAAATACGAAGGTAACCGGAGGAAGTTTTTTGGATACTTGGTACTTCGAACAGGGGATACTCTACAGTCAACAGATTTATTTTAGAAGCTTGGTCTCCAATTTTATACATTATTTGTCTCGCAAATAATTACTACATATCCTATGATGAGAATTGTATTTGCATGATTACATTATTTATTTAATATTTATTAAATTGTCTTCTAAAAGAAATCAAGCCAAGCTCTATTCCAAAATCCCCAAGCCCACCTGTGATAAAGAACATTGAGGAAAAAGAACCAAGTACCAACTTCTTAATTATTTTTTATGATCTCTCGAGAACCGACTACCGTCTCGAGTCCGCTCCAACGAAAACCCATTTCGTCTGCCTTTTATGGCCGGTCTTTAAATGCTTCAGAATGTTTCAATTGAATCGGAATGAATTGGGTCAAAGTGTTCCAGCGGCGTTAGAAGGCAGATGGAAATGTGCCCACGTAGAGACCATTGAGATGTTTCGTCATCCTAAATGCGTGTTTACTTAACCCGCGATGAGAGTGAGATGTATATAATTATGATTTATGCGTAAAGAAAGGCCGGCAGTTAGACGAGGCTTGTTAAAGGCGATAATAACATTCTTTTGAATAACGTATTTAAATCGAGAATACGGGGGGAGAAACTCTATAATTTTTAATTTAAATTGCCCGCTGAGATGGGCAGGGAAAAGGTTTATGAACGCCATTCATCATTCCACAGATGCCGAAAGTGAGATCTCTCTAGTGGGGCCTTCGATACTCCCATCCGATATAGAACTGTGCTGAGCAGTTCCATAAAAGCCAACTTCCTAATGACCAGCGATTGTTCGCTGCCTAGTCAAGGGCTTCCATCACGATCTCGTCCCGGGCAACCATAAAACCCATCTCGCCGGAATCTCCAATGCGACCTCATTGTATGCAAAACTATAAACGGGCTGAAATAAAGCGCACAAAGTCGTGCGCTAAATATAAAATGTAATATTGCAACTTACACATGTTTTGCAGATGATCCAAATGGCCGCAGTTTGGAGATTCCACCTCCAAGGTCTGGAGCCTGAAGTCAGCGGTCTGGCTAAGAGCTCTCACGCGGCTTAGACGCGGGGTTCCAGGGATCCAGGGCTCCGGCGGGTTTCGGGGTCATTTGCTGATTTTTTACGACTATTTCTATCTTAAAGATACAAGTTTATTTATGGCTCGACTGTAAAGTGCGGCGAGTGTATAAAATGCTGGCAATGACATTGCAACACCCAGTAAGCAGGATCCGATGCGCATCCGAATCTTAAACCAAATCAGAATGGAAATGGCCGCTCCAGTGGGAGTGCTGCGATAGCGGGGGCTACAGGGGAGTGGGATTCGGACTCGGACTGGGAATCGGGTGTGGGAACCACTGGCCGGCAGTGGCTGGGCACTAAACGCGCCGCTCGTATGTGGCTAAGTTGACTCGACTTTAATGTGCCTGGCCGGGCAGTAGAGCTAAATGCAAACGCACCCAGGCCCCCGATCCCCCAGAACCCATAGCCCAGAGTGCCACTGTGGGGGCCAGGGCCACCAACCATCACGGCCGAATGCTAAAAGGGTTCGTTCTCCTCACTCCTCAAGTTCACTGATGCGCCTCATTAGGAGTAGCTGGAAACCAGTTCCAGGGCAGGAGCTGTAGCAGCACATGGGGAGGGAGCAGGAGCAGGAGCCGTAGGACCCCAGACAATTGACAATTTAAACGAATTTCTTTCAAACACAACACTGACATGGCCCGGCACAAATGACGAATAGTGGCGGATGCCCAAGCCAAAGTTTACGCATGAAATATGCACCACCAGGAGGCAGCCTCGTCCACAGCCTGAGCCCCAGTGTCGGTAGCCTCCTGGCCTCTGTTCCGTTGCCGGTTGCCAGTTGCCAGTTGCAAGTTATATGTTATATGTTGCTAGCTGCGAGTTGCAAGTTGCCAGTTGCTAGTTGCCAGTTGCTAGTTGCCAGTTGCGAGTTGCGAGTTGCAGCTCCAGGGACAGACAAGACGCATGTATGAAGTGTCATTCATCTGGCCATAAACGCATTATTCAATATGCTAAGTACACTGCAAGAAAGAAATACATATTTTTATATAAATTTTTTTCTTCTCGAGCAAAGCTTGATAGGTAGAAAATTTGACTGAAGAGCTCTTGGTAAGCCTTCTAGACTTCCAGTTGACAGTAAACATAAATAATCAAATCTTGTAATTGTATTTATTTTTTAAGGCTAAAGTTTATGCATTAATTAATTGCAAATTAAAGTATACCATACCTAAGCCAAAAATGCATTAAATTTAATTCAGAAAGCAGGCAATTTATATATAATTTTATGTGATCATTTTAACTTTTCAAAAATCATAACTATATTGCTTAGGTTAGAAAATTACTCATACCATTAAACATGTTGTAGATATTATTCTCAGTGCATGAGGACATGAGCGGGGGGCGGCAGCTAGACAAACGAGTGATCGGCAGACGGACAACAACAGCGGCAGTGGTAACAACAACCACACGGGCAACAGCAACGACGACGACGTCTGACTAAATGCCTCATACTGTGCCAGGTCTGCGGTTCAGGCTCCTTGACTATCTGTCCGCTCCTCCGACCGTCCGCTCGGTTTCAAGGTTAACAAGTTGCATTTGCAATTTGGCACTAGGACTGGCTGTGAGTCTCGAGACCCAGGCCGAGAAGAAGGATCGTATCCCCAGACAAACGGACAGGCGGACAGGCAGACAGACGCCCATCGACATGGACGCTCTGCCCCTGCGACCGCATCAATCGCTTTGGTGAGAATTAAATGTTTATGCCTTTTGTTTGCCCAGCAGCCCCCCAAGCCCCAGTCGCCCCTCCAGCTCCTCTTTAATGAGCGACCTGCTCAATACAATACAAAAAAAAAAGCATGGGGATCCGAGGAACAGCTCCCAAATCAAAGAGCCAAGGAAAAGTACAACAAAAAGCACTCTCATCGAATCAAATGATACCCTTGGACGGACTAAACGATGCCGGCCAACTTTGTGTTACCTGGAGGAGTACCTCCAGGAGCTGGATGAGGTGCAGAAAATGTATTCAAATAATAGAGCTCAAGATCTTGCCTCGGGGGAATATTGAATTGGAACAATTAAAAGCTTCTAAACGTCTCCCATGGGATGCATAACTCTTCAAGATAATTATGAGGTTAATTGGGATGATTTGAATGCCAAAGTTTATTTGATTTAATTGTAGTTTTTAAATTTTAAGCTGTACAGATCGAAATTTAATAAAATTAAGGCATTCTGTTTTGGGTATTGAGTATTTTTTATTTATAGTACAATTGAGAAATTGTACTCTTTCTTTTAAATTTCCATAGCTTGGAAAATGTATTGTTTTATATATTTTCACTCCTAAACCTTTTACAACAATAACATTTGTCTGCGTCAATCGGAGTGCTCGAAGAAGCCTTCTTCATGCCGCAGGCAGAAGACCCAGAAAGCTTCGATTGCTCTGGAGAGCATTGCAGTGAGGAGTCGGCAATAATACGACGCTGATCTATTATTCGCTAGATTGTAAAAATGTAAAAATCACGCTTTCGTGTTGTGTATAAATTGAATGCAATTTATAAATGTCCAGCGTAGAATTAAATCCCCAGCCGTCGGCACAGGCCACGATCGGGTGATGGTGATTTTTCAAAATAAACAACCTTGAGCCGAGGGCTCCGCGGCTCCGTAGCTCTATAGCTCCATAGCTCCAGAGATCCAGAGCCGAGAACAATTGCCAGAGCCCAGAGCAACAATAGACGGCAGCAGAGGCAACAGCCCAAAAGGATCCGCCGGATCGGGTCCCTTGGAGCCACAGATGAAAAATTGCGCCAATTGAATTTGACCAGCGATTGTGGTCGATTGCTCCTCATTGCAGGCCAGCAAGCTGGCTGCGGGGGGTTCCTCTCGGGGAATCGAGTGCCGGCAACTGGGTGTGGGGAGGTGGTGGTAATCCACTGGGCGGTCGCTTAGTTTTCAACGCATTTATCAATACCCAAGTGGCTTGCCCAGCCTCTACCTCTGCCACCTCCGATCCGATCCGATTCGAAACCTCCTGGCAGACCAAGCGTTGACAATGCCAAGGGCGGTGTCGGCTGCCTTCGCCTAATATATTCGAACTGAAATGAAAAAGACTGCCGCCGTCTCTGATTGAGGATGAAGCCACAAAATCGATTTGCCACAGCTTACATCACCCATTGAGATGCCTATAGGCCACAGTTTGGTTTATATAAGAAGCTGATTTTAAGCAAAATATCGACCTAAAATTAAGCAGAGCTTTCTGCAATATGAATTTATGAAACTGGCATCCAAGATTAGGGGAAGCTAGACTTTTCTAGTTGCCAAACCATTGACAACGTCACGAATTCGCACAACATACCAAAAATCTCATTTGCACAGGTCTTAAACAAAACAAATGGATTAACAATTAGATTATAGACACCAAAGAATATGTGTCGAAACTCGTTAGTCTTGGACGATTGCTGTAGCAGGAAGGACCGACCGACTATGAGTTTTGTTCAACCTTTACTATTAGCTGCATTGGCAGCTCTGTATATTTATACGGGATCTGCTAGCAGGGTAAAAATTATAGAATGAAATCAAATCTCATATTTTAGGGCAAAACATTGAACTTACAGGTTTCGGAGGACGATCTACACAAGCCAAAGCCCGAAATGCTATTGACCCAGGTAAAAAAGACCAAAAGTAAGATGTAGCCAGTAGCCGCTTGATTATTGTATTAATCATTGTACTTCCCCTCAGACGGTTGGTATTGCGCCGGAGTGTATTGCCCCATTGAGCGCACAGAGTCCTGCAAGACGACCAGCATCCTGAAACCCACTATTAATATTGATCATGATTTGGTCGTTTTATGCTTGGATGGCAAAAACTTCCCCTTTTGCGGCATCACGCGCAGCTCAAGAGTAGAAAACATATCAGTGGTGGAATTGAACGATCATGGAGATATGGAATATGTTAGGAAAGAAAGAGTTCATACGAGCGAAGGGATATCGGTTCCCATCTGTGCCAAGCGCAAAAAAAATCAAAATAAACGTGGCTAATTTGACACATTTATGCATCGAAGCTAAAATTCATATTTGTCTTTTATGTATTTAATTCTACAAAAATAAAGATATATTTGTGAGCGACCATTAAATTGGTAGTATGTACACTTTAGAAGATGGTTGTTTTACTTGCCATTTAGTGTTGGTATTTAGTATAAACTTAAACATAAAGCAAAACAAATATAGTAAATAACCAAACAGAAAAACAGTAGGTATTTCAAACAATTCAGCTAGGTAGGGTATTTCGGGTGTTATAGGCCCAAGGACTAGGTTATACACAAAAAAAAAACAATAATTGCACCCTTTGAACACACACAAAATTCGAGACGAACGTAAGTACTTTGGGAAAATTATGCACTAAACTTTGCTAAATCTAAGAATGTTCTGCCACTGCACGTAGCTCCTCCATAAGGGAGGGTATGGCCCCGGCGCCTCTCTGATCCCTGCCAGCGTTGAGCAGCCTACTCAGCTGTTCCGCATCCGAGCGGCAGGCATTGAGGGCCTCGCTTAGTTGGCACAGATTCGGTTGGCAACGCTTGCTACGCTCAATCAACTCCAGAATGAAGCTGTTGCGCGGACGACCCGTCTCCCTGGCGGTTTGTTGGACGAGCTGCGGGAAGGGTTATATCAGTTACGTCTAATTTCCAGGCAGATTATGCAAAAATACCTTCTTGTAGTCATCGATCAGATTGGCTACCTCGTGGGCGGGTTCGGGGGGCGCTGAACAGCAGGTGGACTTGCCGGAGTCGGAAGCCTCGTAACGCACTCTTTCCGCTGCCAGAGTTTGTTCCAGAGCCTGTGGAAATATATGCAATTTCCTTTTATATCGTTCTAGTGTCAGGGATTGTGGTCTACCTTTATTCTGGCTAAAGCTTGCTCGTGCATTCCGCTGATCTCCGCCAGTTGAAGCTTTAGGCCCGGCAACTCCTCAGCCTTCCGATGGGCAGCCCTCCCGTTTCGCAGCTCCTTTCGCAGAAGCTTGGCTAGCTGAGGCCAGGATTTTAGGTGCTGCAGCTTTCTGCCGGTTTCGATTTCCAGCACTTGCGTCAAGGACCTTAGGCAGTCCAACGCTTTGTGCTCCTGCCGTGTGGTCTCCTCCCGCTCGTCGAGCAACGACTTTACCTGGCTTTGAAGCCTTTGAATGTTCATCGAATCGGCAGAATGATTCTCCAGATTCTCCTGGAATGTCTCCTTCAACAGCTGCAGCTCCAGCCGATTCTCCTCGTCCTTGGCCAGGCCCAATTGCTGCAGCTGATGCAGCTCTTCGTTTTGACCAGCAAACAATTCGTTAAGCTGCTCTAATTCGACTGTTTTGTGCTGCAGCTCGGCACGCATTTCCTGCTCCAACTGTTGAGTGGCTTGCAAAGCCTCCAGGAGCTGTGTCCAGTCTGCCTCCATTTCGTTGGTGCTCTTTATCTTGGCATCTTGTTGTTGCAGAAGCTGCTGCAGCAGCGAAACGGTTTGCTTCTTTTGAGCCTTGACATCCGCCAGTTGCTGCTCCAAAGTCTCAATGCGTTGGAGTAAAATGGGTTCCTCGACATCGGTTTGTGTGGTTTGGTTTTGGCACTGCTTTACTTTCTGTTGGCTAGATTCTTCTATTACTTTGAGCTTCTGCTGCCAGATCTCTGCCTGCTGGCTTTGGTCATGCATTTGGGACTCTGTCGCGGCTAGATCTGTCCTCAACTGTTCGCACAGATCTGAGTAGTTGTTGAGTTTTGCGATCAATTCGCTTTCCCTCAAGGAACTTTGCTTCTTGAACTTTTCCACAAGCCCTTGTTCCTCTTCCAGTTGCCGCTTTGTTTCCTCACACATCGAACGCATCTCACCATGTTGTCCATGAAGCCTGCGCACCTCATGCTCCAACTTCTGCAGCCTTTTTTGTGCCTCTTGCAGGTTTTCCTTGAGGCTTTCCTTCTCCAGCTGTAAGGAAGCCAAGGAAAGGGTCAGATTCTCCACCTGCTCCAACTTGAGGGCGTCACTCTGTCGCAGCTGCTCTTGCTCCAAGAGTTGAGCTTGCAGGGTGAATTCCAGCTGCTCCAGCTGGCGCTGTTGCTCCTCGTTTTCCTCTTTCAACTGCGACATCATCAGCAACTCCGACCGAAGCTCGTTGAGGGAGTTCTTCAGGCCGGCAATCTCACTCGTCTTGCTGTTGATCTCCTCATGAAATTTCAGGCTGTAGGAGTGCATCACATCAACGCTGCTTTCCCGGGTCAACTTTTGCTGGTAGTACTGCTTGAGATCGAGGAACTCCTGCTCTTTGAGGGCCAGTAGGTGTTCTTGCGTTTGCAGGGTCTCATTGAGCTCGGCTATGACCTGACGGAGCTGCTCCCTCTCGGCATTGACACTACGCAGGGCGGAGCTCCTCAGTTCAAGCTGGTGCTCCATCTGACTCTTCTCGTCCAGCAGCTGCTTATATCTCCCCGTCATCAGCTTGCTCTCCAGTTCCATGCCAGCCAAGGTCTGCTGCAACTGTCCCAGCTTCTCGTCGTGCTCCAGACTGAGTCTCTGTATGTCCTCCAAGAGCATCTTCTTCTGTTTGCGCAGGACATCTATTAGTTGACGTTGATCACGGAGACGAGCCTCCTGCTGTTTGGCCTCAAATGATGCGTCCGGCGATGATTCACTTTTCAGGGAAGAAGTAGTGGGGGACCTTGGGGTTCCCTGTTCCTGCTGCTTCTCCAGCGTGGCACATTTCGCATGCAGCCGGAAGGACTCCTGCTGCAGTCGTTGGTTCTCCACCAGATACTTGCGTTCCTGGGCGTACAGGCGCTCTAAGGTTTCCAGGCGACTGTGCTTCTGTGACTTGAGCTCTTGCTTGTACCAGTGCTCTGATTTCAGAAGGCGTTCCACCTCACTGCGCGACCTCAGTAGCTCTTGTCTCACCGAGAACATTGTCTGTTCCCGATCCGGGATCGACGTCTGCCCAGGATCACCGCCGCCCTCATCGCTCGTGCAGCTAAAGTGGCCGGAGTCATCTGCCAACGCAGCAGCCGCCCCCTCGCAGTCCGAATCCATGGCTGAGCTGTGCAAAGAATTTTATTTATAGGAGGGTGAGTTCATGGCCAAGAACGAGTTTTGTGGGCGGATTTAAATTGAAAAAGTGGTGTTACCTTCCTAATGCAGCCTTGAACGGCAACTTGGGCACTTTGCTTAAGACGGAATTACCCACTTAATCGCTTTCATTAACGGAAAAACTACATTTTAAGCGAAATTGTTTAGCGAAAAAAAAATATAAACAAATCGCCCGGAGCTGGGCAGCTTTCGATAACTTTTTGGGGGGCGGCCGACAAGCAGTATGACCTTACTTTGGGACGGAAAAATAATACTATTATGATACAAGCGCATTAAATATTACGAAACTATTATGATAATAATAAATAATTAAATAATAATAAATAAATAATGTATTACTGAAGAAAATTATAATTGAAAAGTCTTTTAGACCGTTTATTAGAGGTAATGAGAATTTTATTGTTTTATTATTTATTGGAAATAATTAAAACATTTGTAGGCATTATACGTCAAAAACATAAATATAATGGCTTTCGCATACATTTGTGAGTGAGTATCATAAGACCATAAGTAATAAAAAATACCAACAAAATTCCGTTCAGTATTTAAAGTCCGATTAGCTTTTTTAGCGCTGGCCACACTAGGCTCGAAAAACCATCACAAAAACATGAAAACTTAGCCATTCGAAAGCGAACAAAAACCGACTTTTCTACACCTTGTCAACCCCAAATCGCGTTCGTACTCGCAACGTAAGATGCTCCACAAGGAGTGCGCCGCCTAGCGAGGACCGGAGCGCGTGCAACATGTGAGATCGGCCCGCTGGGCGATTCGTCAAATTGCGTCGTGTTACAAAACTTTGGCCCTGGCCAAATTGCCAACAACAACTCGGGCATGATGGCTAGTGCAGCGGCTGACTCGGCAGGCGTGAGTCAGGAGGAGGAGGAGCGGGAGTCCTTTGTCATCTACCACGATGGCCGGGCCCTGCAGCTCCACTGGCGCGGTGTGCCTCCTCTGACGCGAACGCCCGCATCTCGTATCTGCAGCATTGGCGATGTGCTGCTCCTGCTGACCACCGACCACGCCCTGTACTCCGCCCAGCTGCAGACGAACCGCAGCTCCCTCGACCTGCAGCTGCTGCGCACGGACGTGGTGGACATGGACTTTTGCTCCGGCAGCCAGGAGCTGTTCGTGGTGCTCAGCAACGGATCTGTGCAGCGCCAGCTTATCACAGCATCGGGCCGGGATATCCATCACCCGCATGCCTGGCAAACGCTCAGCTTCGACCCCCTGGAGCTGCTGGCTGAGGGCGTTCGCATCCAGCGCGTTTGCTGCTCCGCCCAGGGCGTGGTCTTTGTTGGCGCCGGTGGCGAAACCTACGTAATGGGGACCTGCGGCGAGGTGTTCAAGGCGGAGCAGCAGCCGCGCCACATGCGTCTCTACGAAGAGGGCAAGGAGCTGCTCGATCTGGCCGCCGGCAACGAACACTTTGTGATGCTGGTGGCGCCCTACAACCTGGCCGACGATGTGCTCCAGCTGCAGGTGGCCAATCCTCGAGACGAGCCCGAGGACGATCGGGCCTCTGTGAAGTCGCTGAGCAGCGGAAACTCGGAGCGTAGCTTTGCGGCGAACACGCGGCATCTTCTGCACCAGGGATACGCCCTGCTGCACACCCAACTCTTCACGTTCGGCGCTTCAAACAACGGCCTGTTGGGAACCGGAGACCACATCCGCCGAGCGAATGTGATGCGCGTCCAGAAGCTGGACAGCATGGGCGTGTGCAGCATTGCGGCTGGGCTCGAGCACACGGTTAGTCGCACTCTGGACGGAAGGCTCTACCACTGGGGTCTGAACAGTCACGCCCAGCTGGGCGAAGACCTGAGCTCGCCCATGGAGATCACCATTGCGGACAACGCCACCTGCCTGCCCATGGAGCAGAAGTCAGCGCTAGAGGCTACCTGCGGGGACTACCACACGCTGCTGCTGAATGCCTCCGGCCAGATACAGTCGCTCCAACCGCCGCCGCCCATGCGACACCTGCAGCAGTCCAGCACATATGCCCAGACGCTGCTCCAGCTGCAGTTGGGAGCGGCCTGGCCGCGACAGCTGCGACTACTCATGTGCTCCGGTGGATTCACGCTGCAGAATCAACGCCAGTTCCAGCGACAGTACCACTACTACCTGAGCCACCTGCAGTCACAGCTGCAGCTGCTGCTCAAGCACCGCCAGGCGGTTCAGACCCTGGAGATCTGGCAGCGGCAGTCGGCGCTGGAGACACTCAGTGCCCTCGGTCCGCTGCTGGTCAGCTGGGAGCGGATGCTTTGCCTGCTGGTGGCCACCCTGCACTCCCTGGAGGGATTCTACCGAGCGGACTTTGTGCAGCCGGCGGATCTGCTCTTCATATGTCACCACAAGGAGTACATAGACCTCTTTGATGGCTACACCAAGGCCTATTGCGATGTTTTCTCGGTGAATGGTTTTGGCGAGGCGGTGGCCGCCATCGCTGGACTCAATAGCCCGCTGGCCGAGCTCAACGAGGAAAGCTATGTGACGCGGCTCTTCCAGCAGCCATTCAGTGTCTACCAGCTGTTTGTCCAGTTCATGGAGCTGCTAGTGAGGACGCAGCCGGAGTACGGAGAGCATCGGGTGGCCTGGACTGAGTTTGCGCGGCACAGCTGCATCAGCCAGGAGCTGGCCGTAAATACGAGGGATTTCTGGAGCAGCAATGACCGCAATCCCCGAATCGTTCAGTTCCGCCGGCGCCAGCGAAGGGTGATCTTAACGTCGGCACTGGTGCCCCTTAAGCTGGTCACCACCGGCATCAGCATGTCCAGCAATAGCTTCATTTTATTCTCGGATTTTCTGTGCCAAGTGGGAGGCAACTCACTGTACTCGTACCCCTTGACCACCTTGTGGGTGTGGACGGAGGGCGAGCTGTGCCTGAGGCTGACCACGCCCGAGAAAAGCTTTCTGGTGGCCACTCGCACCCAGGAGATGCGCAAGGTGTGGTTAGACCAGCTGCAGTCCAGCATTGTGGCGTCGCTGGGCAGGCCACTGGGGAGTCCGGTTCCCAGTGCCCGCTCCACAGGCTATGAATTCAGCCGGGAGCATGCGAAATACTCGCGGGTAAAGGCGTGTGGCACCTGGAGGAAGGGCGTAATGCACGGGAACTGCTACCTGGAGTATCCCGATGGGAGTGTCTACTGCGGAGAGCTGAACCACGGGGTCATTGAAGGTGGGCTTACCATACCCTTTGCTATATAACTCCCTGATAATCCTTCCAATCTCCAGGCTATGGCAAGATGGTGATTCCCTCAACGGGCCTGTACGTAGGCCACTTCAAGGGAGGCCGCTTTCACGGCCATGGCGTCTACGAGATGCACTGCAAGGATGCTCCGGAGAGCGAGATATACGAGGGCAACTTCTGTGAGGGTCTGTTCCATGGACATGGAATGATGCGAAACAATCGATACATCTACGTAGGCGAGTACCAAGCCAATGCCCGCTGCGGCTACGGTGTGCTGGAGGATCTGGTGAGCGGCGACAAGTACATGGGCATGTTTGCGGACAACAAACGAGCGGGCATCGGCAGCTGCATAACCAATCGCGGGGACTACTTCGAGGGCAACTTTGCCGCCGACGATTTGCTGGGCAACGGAGTGGCTGTCTTCGAGAACGACTACTACTATGAGGGAGAGCTCACCCTGCAGGGTCCAAGTGGGCGCGGAGAGTACTATATGCCCTGCGGAGAAGCGGGAAATGTTAGTGGGGAGTCAGACGACACCTGCGAGCTGATAGGAAACAAGATGTTTGGTCAGCTCAGCGGCAGCTGGGAGACCGTGCGCATACAGGCCGGGGAGCTGGTCCTGAATCGGAGGTTTCCCAAGTACCCAAGGTAAGGCGATGGCTTCCACGGCTAGAGAAAGCAGCTGGATTCAAGGCTCTTTCCTTATTTCAGCTCCCTGGGCCGACAGGTGGTGGATCACAATCGCAAGTGGCGCTCGCTGTTCAACAACTTCGAAACGGACCTGGCCAACTGCACGGCCAGCAGCCATCCCTCCTCTGCTCCTGGAGGCACTCTTAGAAAGTCCTCGAAACCCACGCTCAGCACGGCGCAACTCTGGAACTGCATTGCCGTGTACATGAGCAAACAGAGGGCTAGGGAAGGCGCCAAGCCGGGAAACTACTTCAACAACATCCTGCTTAGTCTGCCGCTGCCGCAAAAAACCTCCTCGCCCTTGGCCAAGGCACGGACCACAACGAACGCTTTAAGCAAGCTGCAAACGGAGGCGGCTTCGGCTCTGGACTTTCTGGGGTTTCCACCGCGTCGCATTCACTCCCAGGAAACGCTCATCTCTAAGCCAGGAGGACTCCAGAGGGCCGATAGCCTGCTCTCGATGGGACACAACTCAACGCGGGACTTGGACACGAGTAGCCTGGCCAGCTTCCAGCTTGACCAGAGCCTGCTCAACAGTACCTTCAATAGCGAGGAGTCAACTACTCTGAACGAGAGCTTCGCTAGCCTGGGCCACAACAACAACAACAACAATGGGATATCCAAGCAGAAGAACAGCAGCGATTGCTCCATCACCTCGACTGCTTCGACGACGAGTGCCATGCTGGATCAAGTGCCCAGCTTTGGCATGGCCAGCACGCTGACGGAGCAGGACTTGGCCTCCATACGACTGTACCTGGAGCAGGCCTTTAAGGATCGACATCATCCGCTTTACGCGCTGAACGAGCGCATTGCCAACTGTTTCCACTACTCCTATGGCTATTGGAAGGTCAAGCCCACCCCGATCCTGGCCAAGCAGGCGATGCGAGAGTGGGAGTCCATATCAAGACGCATTTACCGATTTGTGCGCAAGATGTTCCCCGCTTTGCCGGAGGACTACTGTCACATGGAGGGCAGCAGGGAGGTGATATCGCACATCACGCTGCTCTATCCGCTGGTGCTCTCGGAGGGCATATACTCCACCCTCTTTGTTCTGTATGCGAACAAGTATAGTCGCAAGGACGAGATGTATAGGCAGAATCTGAACCATGCCGAGAAGCTGAAGGACCAGGAACTCGTGGAACTAATGGGCCATGAGAGGTATTAACTGAAAAACTAAATAAGGTAAAAAATAAAACATAAAACATGTTTTTACAGCTTTCTCCAGACGGTGATGCTGGATCCCAAGTTCGAGGAGTCTGTGCAGACGTTGAAGCAACTGCAAGAGAAGTTTAGTCCCCAGGACATGTTGACTGTGATACAGCGCAGCACGCAGTTGCTGACCGAGGCCTACGAGCACGCCATGTCGGGTGAGTTTTCATTCAAGAAATCAAAGAGTTTGCTCTTCTTTATACCCAACCCAACAGCCAATGCCGCCCAGTTGAATGCGGACAACATGATTCCGCTCACCATGCTCACCATGCTGCGCGCTGCGGTTCCCCACTTGGGGGCGGAATTGGCCCTGCTGGACGATCTGACGGGCCCCAATTTCCAGGCCGAGATGAATGGTATGGCGGGCTATTGCTACACCACCTTAAAGGCGGCCTACGAGTTTGTTACCTTGCGAGCCCTTCAAAAGAATCCCTGAAGCAGCCTGCTGTAGTATGTATTTCCCCCTTGTTTTTGGGGTAGCGACATAAGTCCGCGCGACATGTCGCTATGCCTATTTCCCCCCTGTTTTTTGTTTACTTGTTAAAAGGAGTGATTGACTAGGTTGCTCAAGGTTTGGCTAACGTTATGAAATCCACAAGAACACCGCTGAAAAAGGTTTCTAGTTGGGCTTGAATGGAACCACAATCGTAGGAATAGTTTAGAGAAGAGAGAGAGCTAAGATAAGTGAACTGTGAGATCGTATATAAATCTGTATATACTTCAGCGACGAAACTCCCTCATAGGCTAGCGGGCTGCGATTATGTACAGAGGCCAATAGTGAATGTGTATCTATATGTATTTGAATGTATCTGTTTTTTTATATTCTAAGGCAACAACACATAACATTCCGATTATTCACCAAACCAAATAAATTATCTTCTGCATAAACTGAAACTTTCAATTATTTCGAGGCCTCGGAGAAACCCTTAATGCCTTCGTCCGCTGGGAAAAGAGTTTTTCGCAAGTGCGCGGCAAAGTTTTGTCGGTCCATCTTGTAGATGATGTACCTTTCGGGGAAGGTCGTTCCCTCCTCGTAGTTATACACCAGGACAATGGGATCGTTCTGCTTGGCGATCTTCCGCTTGGACAAGAAGGCCAGAGCGTACATGGCCCGCAGCAATATGTTCCTTTTGTGCTCGAGGACTTGCTTGGTGTAGAAGGGCAGCATGTTGACGTTGTGGTAGATGGTCACATAGTCCTCGGCGGAGCGCATGTGGCTGACGAAGAGGATCGGTGCCTGGGGCCGGAAGTGGGCGATCTTCTGCACCATCCTGGTGGTCACACCAATCACCACAATGGCCACCGCATGAACCTCCATGGAGGCAAAGACAATGGACCGCGCCAGGCTATCCGCTCCCGTGTGGGAGCGATCACAGTAGGGAGCCTTGGCCACAGCCGTGGGGCCGATCTGCTGAAAAATGGCGTTTTGCAGGAAGCGGAAGTAATGGGAGTGCTTCGGTGGGGGGCAGGATGCCACGTATTTGTCTGGATAGTAAAATGTGTAGTAATAGTGCGCCGGATCTACGCGCAGCTTTTGCTCGTCCAAGAGCCGCGGATCGAAGATGATCGGCTTTTGCGAAGCGTAAGCCAGCTGCATGAAGCACTCGGCGTCGGGACACAGGTGCATAATGTCCGGGACGATCGCCGGTGGGGCCAGGTCCACCAGGAAGCCATCGTACCGCTTGGCGGCCCAGTTGAGCTCGCCGTCGCAGCCATTAACCTCGTTGAGGAGCACTCGGGCATACAGCCGCATGCCGTCGCAGTGCATGGACGCCATCGATTGCTCTAGATCGTCCAGGTACTTGGGAGTGCCCGCAATGTGCGAGATGACCACGTTCAGGCCCACCTCTCGGGCAAAGGTCAAATCCTCGAGCTCCTCGTACGACATCTGGAACCGATTGCACCTGGCCGGAAACAGGAGAGGCATATGATCGTAGAGCGCCCCGGCCTTGGCCACACAACACTTCAGATGATCCATATGGGCACTGCGTACCATTAGCTGGATTTCTTCGCCGATCAGGATGAAGTCATAGGGCCGCACATCGACGAGCAGGAAGCGAGCGTTCACGTAAATAATATGCGCAGTGCACCGGTCCGAGAAGTCACGCTCCACCGTCAGGATGACCTCGTTACCCTTAACTAGGTCCACGGACCTCTGGTCGTCAGCGAGAATCAAGGGACTCAAGCTTCCGGTGTATTGGTGGCGCGGCGAGAGCATCGCCATGACGGAGGAGACCACAGGGAAGCCGAACTCCCTTGACACATTGATCTCCGCCTCACGCAACTTCACGATCAGGCTCTGGTTGCCCTGCTGGGTGCCCTTGGCGAGATTAATTAGGAAACAGCGGACACCGTTGACTAAAATGATTGAGAAAAAACCCAATTTAATTACAGGGGAAAATATAATAAAAAGTCCATAGAATAACTAGCCCGCGATCCAGCATTTCTTACTCACGCAAATAATTTTGTAGCCCCTGGCCGCAGGCTATATTTTCAGTCAGCTCAATGCATTTGCGGTTCTCGTTGGGATCTGTGGCCAGCGGAGTGGTCAGGATCTCAAAGCCATTAAAGTAGTTTTGCCAACGATCCTCCTCGAAGGGCACCATACACAGGTCCTCACTCATCTCCTCCATGCCCATGCCCTCTTCTTCATCTTCTCCACTGGACTGTACAACTAACTTGGAGCGCATGATCTTTAGGTCAGTCTCGTTGACACACAAGCTGCCCTCCTCGTCGAAGCCAAACATGTTGTAGAAAGTGTGACGTCGCTGGATACTCTCCAATTGAGACTTGGCCCGCTGCAGCTTCTCCACGTCCACGGAGATGATCCGAAATCGACAAAACAGGTCGTCTATGATGGACATTAGAGGCGGTACATTCTCGTCCTCACTATTTTCGTGCTCAGTCATTGTGGCAAAATTTTGTGAATTTACAAACAAAATGTTTAATTTTTCAGTATAAGGTTCTTTGAGTTTGTATTTTAAGAAGTCTTACAGATTTTGAAATGATAATTTGATGAACTCTATCCTATCCTATCCTAACATATCACTAATATTAATTTTATTTTATTTTAACAACATTAAATCTATTATACGATACTAAACCTAATAAGTACTACCTACTAAGGTCTACGACCCGAGATTTAAAAGGAGAGAATTACATATTTAATATCTAGGAGATCACTAATATAATTGTAATTACCCCATTAAGTAAATTTCTTTAAATATCCCCCCAAGATAGATCTATCTATATATTAGTCATGGTTTCTGTTTTTTATCATAAAATTTAAAATAATCAAAACAATGACAAGAAGACTTATTACATTTTGAGAGAATTCTGCGCTGTAATCCCTCAGAGAAAAGTAAACACATGAAACTTAAGCGGAAGTTTTCAAGCCCAGCGGTAATTGAACAATTATTTCTGTGCCATTAGCCACGCGTACGTGCAGCTATAAAATTACATAATGCTCCTCAGCTGCAGCCTGCAGCTAGTTATCCGCATTAAAGTCCCAACCAAATCGGAATTCGAACCCCAATCCGAATCGGATTCGACCCCTTCCGAAGCCGGGCATTTTGTTTATAGTTTTTCCTGCCCTTTTGCCACCCATGCATTTCCCTTTTCTTCTCAGCACACTCCCCTTTGAATTCTCCAGTGATAAAAAGAAACCGCAATTGGAGGCGCAGGTAAGTTTGGGCTTTAGTCACTGCTGCTGCTGCTGCTCCTGCTGCTGTTTCCCATTTTTGTTTATTTCCGTAATTTATTTGCCCGTCTTGCCTGAAGGCGAAAATGTTAAATTTAGCATCGAGCGTCAAGTGAAATGTTTACAATGTGAGAGAAAGTTAAATGGAAGAGTGGGTGGGGCCGGAAAGTAGGGAGCCATGGTCCCAAACTAAGCGTTTTAGAATCTTTTCGGATTCTTGTTCCCACTTGAGGCCCCGAGGAAAAAAGGGAAAACATAAACATCCAGGAATGTTTAGAGAATAAAAATGTAGCTCTCCTTGTGTATTTCCCCCCTTTGTTGTTTATTTTTCGCCCCGCCGCCAACTGACAGATACACCGGCTGACTGAGGCTGAGGCCCGAACCTGAGGCCCGGGTCTGCTCTGGCTGGAGGACTGGGTGTGGCCGCGGCCATGTTTAGACTAAGCAGCCGATCATCATCGGACTGCGGAAAGTGTAGAATTCTCCTCGCTCGACTGCGAAAATCGCTTGAACTTTGACGCAGAACTGCACTCATCGATTCGTTTGTTCGCTTTTCCCCCTTTTTTTCCGTTTTTAGACACGGATTTTTCTATGCCAGGCGGAGTGGGTGGATGTGCCTCTAGCTGGGGGTGTGGGTGGTGGGTGTGGGGCTGGAGTGGGCGGCGGACTGCGGGGCTGCCCATCTGCTGCCATTGAGCAACATAAATTGGCCGGCTCCTTGGCTCTGCTCCGCTCTGCTCGGCTCGGTTCGGTTCGTCGGATCGCTCCGATCGTTGTTCCTCTGCACTTGAGAGCAGCCCCAACAGCAGCAGCGATCTCTCGCGCCCTCTCTTTCCACTTTCCTGCCAGCCGTCTCTTTCCTTCGCCCTGCTGCCATCCCGCTTACTCACCCATTTTCATTTCGTGAATAGAATTTTCTAAATGTCTTTGAGTTTTCAAAATTTTGGAGCGTAGGTGCAGTGCGTCGCGAGGCGTCAGCGTGTACGGTTCGCTTTTAAGGAAAATCTAAAAAATCGTTCGGTTAATTAAGAAGAAAATAAAAGGAGAATACACCTGAACAAACACAAGGATCTTGAAAAAAATCGAAAACATAATTTTAAAAAATGTTCCAACATTTGTGCCACTGTGAGAGGAGTTCTGACAACAGGAAGAGCGTCCTGTACAAGAGACTTCCTGCGGAAGTGGGCGGTTTTCCGCTACTGTTGCCAAGTCCCCATATACACCAGCACCACACCCACACACTGGCGGCACACCACACACAGTGGCGATAATTTTTCATCTTTCCAATATCCCACTCGACTGGCAAAATATTCGCTTCTGCCTTTTGGCTAAAAATATTTAAAAATCCAAAAATCCACTCGCGTCGCCTGGCGGCTGGCCGCTTCAACCTACTACGGCCGGCCGCCTGTTTTTCATAATTTTCAGTTGAGTTTTATTTATTTATCCTATACATACTCGCACGTCCGCACAATTGCCTTTTTTTGTTGCTGCTTTGTGACTGTCGAAAGTTTTGCGCTTTCTGCGCTGCTCATTTCATTTGGCATGTCGTCGTTTTTGTTTATTTCACGCCGCCCCCTCTAGACTGCCCAGTTCCGTCCGGCTTTCCACCCTTGGCCGTGCAGTTTTCCTGACGCAACTCGGCGCTGATTTTTCGCGGCTTTTGCCTCCATGATGCCGCTCCTAATTGCCCCAGCCCCGTGAAACAAATCACAACTTAATGGGCAGCCGCCATCCCGGCGGTGGTTTACAACTTCCTTGGCCAGATATCCGAATAGAAATATATATAAATACATATATGCAGGTATATATATATGGTAGTTGGCATCGGAAGACAGCTGTGTGCATTGGCAGATGCCATCAGCATCATCATGATCATCGTCCATTGCGTATGTGGGGGAAGTCCATAAAAAAAGAAACCAAACCAGCACACAGTTATAAAAATAAAACTATTTTCGTATGGCCCGTGCGCATATAGACGCTCGATCATTAGACATTCGAATCGGGATCGGAGGCCCCAGTCAGCGCAGCCTCTTGGCACAGTTTTCCAGAGAGCACACAGATCGGTCCATAAATCAATCGAACCAAATTAAATTAATTCAATATCTAAACAAGCGAAAACACAAGAAGCAATCTCATCTCATCACGGTGCCATGTGTGCCGATGGCTATATCTCGCGCATCGGGTATAGAGTATATAGTATATATACAGTGTAACGTCTATATAAATTCTAGTCGATTTGTCTTTTTCCGCTTACTGGCGTTTTATTCGAGCAACGACAGGAAAGGGAAAAAGGCGTATTTACTATGAGTTTGGCCATCAAGCTATCTGTATTCTGTGATATATGAATGTACAGGTGAGTATATCGCAGCTATGGGATGCTGCATCTCTGCGTAGGATATATTTTTTATCTGGCTAATCAAAGTCAACGGCTTCAGCGATGCAGGCAACTCATTTGGCGGCTCATTTGCCATCATTATCTTCAAAAATATTTCCGCAGTCTAATTAAGATCTTAGATGTATTCTTGAATGATTCTTTGAGTATTTTTTGATGAATGTGAACAGGAGCAGGGGAAAAAAAATGAGGTAGTAAAAATGACATGGTTTTATAAATCACAAAAAAACCAAAACAGTGGCCAACACCCAATGAGTAATTCCCTAAAATAACAAAAAGCTGAAAATATGTATGTTTGTTCCCATTAAAACTGAACAATTTTGGGAGCTTCTAGTTTCACAAGAAAATTTTAAAAGAATTTACAATCGCCAAGATCGAATTCCTCGATTTTTGCTATTTGGTTTCGATTTAAATCTTTCAATTGCTCTAAATATACTCTGAGTTTTTGGACTTTCAATTCCGATTAATATGGAATATGGAATTACTTGGCAGTCCGAACAAAGAAATATTAATATGAAGAACCAAATCTTGCCAGATTTCCCCCGGCGCAGCAATGGTGAAATTTAACAAATTGCCTGGCTCTGGGTATCCCGAGCAGCAGATCCAATTCAGATCCAAATCGGGGGGCATTCTTCCATATTTCTGTAGCATTTCAAATGAAACGAAAATTAAATGTAAAATTTATTGTTGCATAAACAAAATGCCGAGAAACCGACCGCATCCAAATCGAACGATGCGTATGTGGCACCTTTAAGTATTCCTCGGCCCCTGCCCTCGATCGGTCCAACCATCCATCCGAGCAGCCCCATCTCCTTGTCCATATGCCCCCAACATCTTCATCTTCTCCTGACCGACCCGGCGGCTGCTGCTAACATATGTGGAACGCATATAGTATGGACTGCTGGAGAGAATGGGGATGGAGGTGGAGGCGGAGAACTTAGTGCTGCCTCATGCCCAGTGGCCAAAAATAACATCAATGAGGGCAAGGCGCGGAGACGGACGCCGTGTGTTTGCTTTGTTTATAGTTTTCGTGTAAACAATTGCGAACGGAAAAACCGAATTCCCGGCGTGTTCATGTTCGAGAAAAATCAAATCTGGAAAATGCCCAAAAAAAAATAGAAAAACCAAAGCTATTGAAGCTGAAATCGAACTGAAAGAGCAGGGTGCAATGAGGGGCTTTTTACAGCTATAATCATGAATTTCTGAATAAAAATACGAAAAAAAAAGAATTTTAAAACTAAAATTTAAGTTTTGCCCTTAAATTTAAACAGATTTACTTTTTCAAAGTCAGATAGGTATATATATAAGAGCTCCAGACTCATTTTGTAATCCTTCATCCAAACCTGATTCTTCTTTATGTTGCAAATTAATAAGATCTTTAAAGTAAACATAAATTTATTAAAATAATTACACTCTTGCCTTAGATTGTGTTCCCTAATTTTTAACAAATTAAGGTCAGCTCTGATACATTCAGACCCTGTTTCAAGATGGAACATAAATTATGAACATCGAATTGCAGCCAGGAATTCAGATGTGCAATGGATGGGCTGGGAGCTGGCAGATGGGTCTCTGGACGCGGTAAGAAGCTTGCTCTTTAATTAATTCTTAGAACGGGTTTCCAGTAAATGCTCCGAGCCCATATTGTACATATGGCGTGTATGTAAGTGTCTGGATATTGGCCAATAACCGGTAAACAAGGCGACCAGCAATTCTGATTTCAATTCCATATTATTTTTGGCAATATAAAGAGCTGTCGCCGCTGGCTCAGAGTCAAATCAAAGTCAGCCTTCCAGTCAGACAGAGCAGCAGCATCAGCATGTTCAAGATCGTGAGTATGGCGCCCTCTCCAAGGATTATCTCATTCCCAAGTCATCATTTTGCCAGGTCTTCATTTCCCTGGCCCTCTGCCTGGCCGTCGTTCTGAGTGCTCCCGTGGACCATGTGGATCAGCCACCGGTGGCCATTTTGGAGTCCACCCACGAGAAGCACGAAGATGGATCCTATAACTTTTCCTATCTTGGCGAGGACGGCACCCACCGCCATGAGGAGGCTGTGGTCCGGAACCAGGGCACCGAAAATGAGTACCTCGAGATCAGCGGCTCCTACTCGTACTTCGATGCCAATGGCAAGGAGGTGGTTGTGAATTACAAGGCCGATGACCATGGATTTGTACCCGAGGGCGGAGCCATCCTCCCTCAGATTTCCCTGGCCGCCAAGCAGGTCAGCGAGCAAGTGTCGCAGCCAGATCTGGACTATGATAAGCCCCCGAAGGTCTAATAAAGGAATGGCATTGATGGAATTTTATTATGGGTGTTTTGTGCTGGGAAGTGGAAAATGAGGGGAGTCCCTAAAGAGCACTCAGCATAAATAAATCTCAAACAAATCGATTTTGATGGACTTATCTGACATTCCAGACAGGCAAAGTAGGAGAGCTCTTCGAGCATATGCTTTATATAAATCAGAACTAATTATGCTGAGCTCTCAACGGAGAGTGTTGGCTTATTTTGGGTATTTTGTAAGTATTTTTATTAAGAAAATATATTTACAAAGAATGAATATGTGCTTGATAAGCTTTTATGGAATTTTTTAATGATTTTTGGGGAATTGGATAGCAATTTTAAGATTCCAAAAATCATTTAAAATGCACAAAACTTGAACAAATCAATCGCGTTGATTTTATAATTTATCCTTATGAAGACAGCAACTTATTTAAACGTTCTCAAAATTATATAAATAAAACATGTATTTAGATTACTTTAAAACTTTAAACGCTTTTTTGGAAAGACCTATTCCCTTACCTGTATATATTTTTAATTTCATAAAACAAACCATATGTTTCTAAAATTTTACTTTCTTCATTTAATGCAGAAACAATTTCAACTACAAAATAATAGCTAGAGGACCGCCTGCTCGGCCATCCTGGGGTTCGTATAAGTTAACAGTGCGCTGAACAAATTGAAAATACAAAAATACAACTAGGGACAAGGAGGACGGGACAATAGGGATCGGTATCGGGACGGGGACATTATTATAATACATAAAAGCTCAGAGATTAAATTAAAAACAATGCAATAAATAAGAATGGAATCGTGATCACTTCTTGACCGGCGTGGGCGGTGGCGATCGATAGGAGTTGACCAGTCCGCCTCCCGAGTTGGGTTTTCGGGTCTTCAGGCGGTTCTGAAGCGTCTGGAGCAGCCCGGCGAGCACATCGTGGTTGGGAATCTTCTTGGCGAAGAGCAGGCGCTTCACGGAATCGTCGTAGGTGAGCAGGGCCACCATATTTTGGAGCAGGAAGCACTGGCAGTACTCCAGCAGTCTATTGGCATTGTAGACCTGAAAAATCAAAACCATTAAGACCCGTTTTCGATTATTAAAGAAGCCTAGTGATAACCCACCTTGGCGTGTATGTACATGGCCACCACATTGTCCACATCCACCATTTCGGAGCAGCGTGCCTCCGTGTAGCGGAGCAATCCCTCCAGCTGGAAGAAACTGGCAGCCGCCATCAGTTCGAGGACATCGCCGTGGGCTACATCCAGAGAGCTGCAGCCACCGCTGTAGAGGAACTGCATCACCAGCTGGAAGATGTGGTAGCGGATGTCGTTGATCTGGACCGTGGGCGTGGAGCTGGCCTCGCTCAGCTTGGAGCTCAGCATGCTCTGGAAGCGCGGCGACGCCGTGACCAGGACGATCTTGTGTCCGTAGAAGATCTTGCCTTCGACTCTGTAAAATAAAATTTGTAAAAATTAATTTCCCAAATCTGTTTTATAAGTATACACCCACCTAAAGGTCACATCGCTCAGCTCTGGATTGTTGACGAACTTCGGATCGATCCGTGATCCCTGGACGGGCTGCAGGGTCGGCTGCTCCTTGACCGGCGGCAGTGTCTCCCAGCCAAAGCAGGTGGCAAAGATGTCAGCCAGGAGCAGGGTGGTGCCCTCGTTTTTGTTCCGGAATATGTTGAACAGCAGTGGCAGGCATTCGCTCACGAACTGGGCGCTGTAGTCGTCGGGACATACCTGCAGGAAGTCCTGCAGCAGCTGATCTATCACCGCGTCCAGTCGCAGGTCATGAGCTGCCGACAAGGCGTGCATCCAGCAATGAAGGGTCCAGGGCACACCCAGCTTCCGTAGCTCAATTGTGATGTCTGGAGAGGAAAGGGAATATGAGAACGTGACACTTTTATAATTATTACTAATAACCCTGGTAGGGTTTTATCATTTTTAAGACAAATTTTTATTGAAGATTCAATATTTTTTAGGAGTTGCAAAAATTTGTGAATCAGAAGAGATTCATTTGGCAGACGATAAATCTTATTCAATCCTAAATGCTCAGACTTAAATTGTAAACAAAGCTCTTCCAACGGTTTCTCACAATATCCGGTTTTCAAATTATATTTTGACTAATTTTAAGACGAGCTTCAGCCGATTTAATGAATTAGAAAATCATTAAAAAGAGATTGAATCACTTAATCGGTCATTGCATTCTTTTTAATTTGCATTTGAATCAGTGAAGAATTTGGTTTAAAGTTTACTGAAGAAATTAGTAAAACAAAAATCTCTAAATATTTAAGTAATGTTTAATTTATTTAAAACATAAAAGTACCTGAATTAAATAATTATTTAACTAAAGAAAGAAAACATCACGTTTTAAGGCTTACAAAATTAGTAAGTTTTGCAAAAATATAAGATTCCAAGATTCTATTTTGATTAAAAAACTTATAAAAGATTCCCTTAAACTTAAATATTGTTTAGGAAATTCTTAAAGAAACTTACCCAAATGATTATTCTCGGCGCTGTGATACATGGCCTCCTGGAGTCGCTTGATCTGCGTCTTGTTTAGCAGCGGCAGCAGATCCTCATTGTTTCCGTTGCCACTAACACTCCCAGGTCCACCTGCTCCTACTCCTCCACCACCGCCTCCTGCTCTCACTCCACCCACATCGCCCTCGGCCAGCATCTCCTCCAGTGAGAGTACATCCCTCGTCCCGGGCGAGACTGGATGGGTGAGCAGCTTCCGAAGACACGAGCGATGTCCATGGGCTGCTGCTACGGAAATGGCGCAGAAGCAACCCTTCTGTGCGGATCCAGCAAAGCAGAGAGAGTCCTTCTGCTGGGTGGACATAAAGGCATTGGCTCCATGGGCCAGGAGCAGGGCCACGATCTCCAAGTTACCCGTTCCGGCAGCCAACTGCAGGGGCGTCAGTGTGCATTTCTCCTCGCTGCTACGGGCACCGCCCTCGACCTTGCCTCCTCGTTCCAGCAGAATTCTCAAGGCCACGTAATTGGCCCTGCTGGCAGCGAAGCTCAGCGCTGTCCAGTGTTGAGTGTCCGATTGGATAGCTGGATGTCCAGGGCTACCAGAGGGAGGCACCTCCACATTCGGGTCGCAGCCGGCGTCCAGGAGTGCGTGCAGGGCCACCTCATCGTTACGGATACTGGCGATCATCAGGGCGGTTAATCCAGCGCTGTTCTGGGTATCGTAGCGGGTCGTTGGAGGCAGCAGTTGGGCGGCCTGGGCTAGGAGTTCCGCTCGACCGGTTAGGAGTAGCTGGGGGAAAAAGGGGGATATGTTAAAAAATCCTGATCTTCAACTTCTTCATAAAAACTACTCACCTTGAACGCTACTCCGATGGTGGCTCGCCTGCCCAGCTCCGAGGTGTCCTCGCCGATTCCTATCCCAATACCGCTGACCACTGGCGAGCTGCAGCTACTGCTGCCCGTGCCTGTGCCCGTCGAGCTGGCAGCGGGAGCATTGTTGAAATGCGTCTTCTTGGTGGGCAGCTCCTCATCGTGGGCCACCGGGCGGATAGGGCAATCCACGCCGGGCAGGAGCAAACGTGCGGCCTGCATAATGTCATCCTTGTCGATCATCAGGGCGCTCCTGTGCTCGGCATGGGCGGCGGCCACTCTTAGCCACTCGGCGAGTGGCGGAAGCACTACATAGGCACGTTCGTAGCACAGTTCCTGGACATGGTGGCCCGCCGAAGCGGAGGCACCACCTGCACCCGGAGGTACAGCCGGGGCCTGGCCAGCGTTGCAGCCCGAGGCGGCCAGTAGCTCCGTGTGCTCCAGTTGAGAGCAGCGCATGAAGTAGAAGAGAGCGGCCAGCGCAGATCCGGAGAGGGCGGCTGCCAGCTGGAACTCCTGCTGCGTGCGCAGAGCCTTTTCCTTCAGTTCCCGCACACTGCCCACGCAGGTGGCCAGCGAGGAGGCACTGGCCCATCTGGGCAGGGCCAACGCCCCACTGGCCACTCTTCCGGCATTCAGGTGTGCGAAGGGCTGCAGCAGACCCCACACGTCGCCGGAACTGGCTATGCTCTGGTCCAGGGCAGCTGCAGTGCTCCCGTTGCACTGCAGCGCGATCTCCTCCAGCAGATTTTCGATGCCGGCGCACAGGTACACCGCCGCGTACTCATGAATGAACTTGCCCAGCCGGGCATCCGTCATCCAGCGGTAGAAGCGACCCACCGACAGCTGGAGGCCCGCTCGAGCGGACTTGCTCTGCTTGAGGGCGCTCTCGCCGGGTACCGCGAACATGGCGGCGGCCCGGAGGCAGGCCTTCGTGCAAGAGTCCGCCAGTGAGGAGCTGAGCACCACCCGAAGAGCTCCGGCCACTTCCTGTTTGGAGCAAAGGCCTATGCCCGCGGAGAAGCGTTGAATCTCGCGGGCAATCCTCACCAGCGCTCGTTGCAGAAGATAGCCCAGCCGGGACACCGCCTCCACGGCCAGGTGCTCCGACTGCTGCTGGCAGCGTCCGTTGCGGAGCACTCGGAGGATGCAAGGCTGGCTCCAGGGTGGATGCTGCAGCTCCACGAGCCTGTTGTGGGAGTCCACCCACACGAACTCGTCCGCACTGGTGGTGGTCACCACGGTTTCGAGCGAGGAGTACCTGCCCAGGCGGCGGGCAGGCTCCGAGCTCTCCGACCCGGCGCTTAGGCTGCTGTATGTGCTGCTGCTTGTCTGGGAGCGTAGCGTGAGCATAGCCAGCTTAATGTCCTCCAGTCCGGTTCCGCTCCACGGGGCCTTCCCCGCCGGCATGATGCCGCGATGTCGGCGCGATCTGGTGCTCCGGTTGGTAACACCAGCCGCCAGTCTATCCTCGGGCAGCGGCCCCAAGGTCATTCCACCGGCTGGCGAGGAGCTGTGGCCACCCGTATCCGACATACTGGCGTGTCCGGAGCTCCGGTTCTCGTCCGAGGAGCTGTGGCACTCCTGGACTCGCTGCAACGCCCGGAACTGGTCATGCTGGTGCGTCCTGGCCGACGAGGAGTTTGCCGTCGTTGTGGGTATCCCCAGCGTGGGTCTGCTAGGCGAGACCTGGTTTAATCTCCCGCTTAGCTGTGGAGGCTGGGACTTCACCGGAGTACTCTGTACGGTCAGGCGTGCCGGACCAGCCACCGCTCGCTGCGGAATCAGGGCCTTCGAGGTGGACACAGGCGAAGTCAACTGGCTGGAGGAGCTCACCAGCTGGCAGCCAGGACTGGACACCATCTTGTGGGGGAAGCCTTTGTTGTTGTTTGGCTGTTGGGCCAGTTCCTTGAATACCCGCGGTGCTGGCGTGGCCATGGCCACCGCCAGACCCTTTTGGGGGCCTCCGCCATGTGGCGTCTGCGAGAGGGACTGCTGCTGCGGCGGCTGTTGCTGGGGAGGAGACTGCAGCTGTAGGGGCGGAACGGGTGGCAGGCCGGTTATCTGGCTGGGAGCGGGAAGTTGGCTGAAGTTGGGTGGCAGGTTGCCAGTGGGTCTGAAAAATTTTAAGAAAAATTGATTATGTAACTTGTATTTTTAATTTATTTAAATAAGAATATATCATATGTATTTTTTTAAACCAAAGGGTTCAATTTATGTCGATAATGCTTTAAAATCTTTTATTGATCTGATAACGAAAACATTAATGTGTCATTTAGATCATTAATATGTAGAATCAATATTCAAAATTCGATAAGATACGATCTCTGTCACACCTGCTATCGTTCTTCATTTCTAGGCAAAATCCATTAATATCTGCCAATTAAGAAATCTTAATTTGCATAGCAAAATAATAAATATATTTTTAAAAATTTCGCAGCCAAGCTGACCTATTTCTAGGTCTATAAATGATGCAACTCATTAAGATTCCACTAAAACCTCTAAAGAAGCCCGGTTAAGATAAACAAAGGCTTTGGCTAACGGACAGACGGGAGAGATGTCACCTTGCCGCTAATCTTTGTTCACACAATCTTGACAGTCTTCTAGTTAGTTTCGGGTTAAACCCAAAGCAGTGACACCTAATTAAAAGTAGACGTAGTTGGGAGACATAAAACAAGAAATAAATAAATATATATAAACAAAGGCCCTACCAAGTCGGCAGCTTGGTTTATGCAAAATTTGTGTCAAATGCTTCTGAAAACATTCGGAATACTCTACAATTTAAAAGGTATTTCAAGCTAATAAATATGTAAATAAAGGCCAAATATTTACATTGTTCCAGCGTTATTTAATAAATATTAAGAAAGATATAAGATCAATAGTATTAAGATTCTGTACAAAAGAATACCGTTTTTATTTATTTTTGAACAATATTTAAACACAAAAATCATAGAATAAATCATTTTCAAAACCTTTAAAAAAGCATAAAACCCTTCTGGAAGCAAGGGCATTCAACACGCTTAATTTCTGCTTTTGCTAAACATTCCCTTTTGTTTTGGAAAGTGGGTTGATCTTCGTTCTCACAGTTCTTGGCCCCATCCATGATTCTCATCTTCCAGTTGGGCTTGGTTGTCGCAAAATAAAAAGCGATATTAAAAGCCAGTTACGATTTTTCATTTGCATGTGACTAAGTTAGTTGTCCGCAAAATCTCTTCATTCTTTATGATTTCTGGCCATTGTTATCGCTTAGATTTCTGGCTTTGACTATAGCTATGCTGTAACTTGAGCTGTGATTGACCCAAATTCTGAGCTTCGCGATGGCTGGACGCATCTTTTATTGTCTTTTTTGACAATATGTCTTTAATATCTTTAATACAGATCTGCTGTTCTGTGCTAAATAGGATTTATGTGGTGATTTTTGCATTTTTAAGAGTTCTGTTATTATGATCTAATTCTGAACTTGAACTTTACCTTTCTGGTTATTTATTTGAAAGGTAAAGCTATACATTTTATAAAGCTTTACATTTTATTTATTCACTAATGCAACAAATTCATTAAATTTATTATCATAATATTATTCTTCTGCATATTTTCTACATTTTAAATAATCTGTTTTATATAGAAAAGAAAACTATAAAATCCACTGAGGTTCTTTACATTCTTTAAACATTTAAATAAAGTACAACTGATCCACTTTTAAAATGCTCACTTCACTAGCTTCTTATGTAAATTAAGGCCAAACTTTTACGATTTTCCTTTCAACATTATGACTTATAAAACCAAACAACATCTTTAATGGGTGACATTAAAATCAACAACTTTAAGTTGAATTTGAACTGCCTAAAAATCTGTATGGCGTGGGACTCGAATTATCTTTATTATTTCTGATCTTGTAACCATTAAATCTATTTAGTTCTTTGTTCTGTTCACTTAAATTCTTATCTTTAACTGAATAATGATTTGATTTTTCAGTTTCCTGACTCTTTTTTCCCCTTTATTACTTTCAATTCTGATTGCTTTCCCTATTTTCTCGACTCGGCATTATTTTTGACATCTTCCCAATTGCATTTCAATTGCATTCTCGTCAAATTCAATTCCCCGTTGAACTCAAATCAAGTTCCTTTCCCTTTTTCCAATTAAAGGCCATCCAATTCTACGCCTAGAAGAAATCCCTTTTTCGCCAACTTTCACAATAGAATTGCAATCGCACAACAAAAATAGAAATGAAAAATAGAAAAATGAAAAAATAACAAATGGCAAGTGGCATAGGGGATCGGGGTATCGGGAGGTAGTAAATAATGCCAAGTTCCCAGTACCGTTTCGCTGCCCTCCGCCACTCCTGGACGTAGCTCCAGTCGCACGAGTCCGTCTCCGCCTCATCTTGGCCAGGGTCGTCGCTATCGTCGTCGTCATTATCGTTGCCATCGCCGGCAACGTCGGCTGCATCGGATTTCGTTGGACCCACGACGGCCAGAGTCGGTTTTGCCACCGTTTCCACCAAGGCACTGGCTCGCCGGTAATTGCCTTCAATTCTGATATTAATTACGCCGTTCTGCACGCTCTCAATGTAGGGCGGCAGTTCGTCATCCGTCCGCAGTTCCACTGCCGCCGCCGCCGCCGCCACGGTCGTCGTCGTCGGCGTGGTTTCCACCTTTATCTTCTCCGTCCCCGCCACCGCTTCAGTCTTCGGCTCCTTCCCCACTGGAGTAACCTCTTCGTGGGTCTTCAGTTTCTGGGACATCTCCTGCAGCAGCTGCGAGTGCAGTTCTTTAGGCGATGGCAGTGGCGAATGCTGTCCGCGATTAATGGAGTCCCCAAAGTATATGACCACCTTATGGTTGGGCTTTCGTCCCGCCCGCGTGGAGTCATCCTCCGCCGCCCAATCCGGCAGCTCCTCAATGGGCGTAGGCGATGGGGTCTGAGGAGGCCGTGGCACTGGTAGCTGCTGTGCCAGCATTTCGCTGTTCCTCAGCGACTGCGGCTGGAAGTTTTTCAGGGAAATGCCGCGCCTGCGCAGGATAAAGTTGTCGTTCAGCATCCTGCTGAGCAGGGAACTCGGCGGAGTGGATGCGGGAGCAGAGATTTTGGGGGTGGCAACCTTCTTGCCACTTGGCTTGTAGCCACGCAACTCGCGGCACAGGCTGCAGGTGCAATCTTTGGTGCAATACATGCTGGTGATGCTGTTAGTTGAACTTTGGTGTCATGGCAGTCCTTAAAGCCCTTTTCCATATATCTCAGTTGTATAAATTTTAAATTAAATATTCGAAACGGAGCTTGAAGTATTTTGTTTTTTAGTTTTTTTTAGAACAGTTTCAATCTCGTTTTAAATTATTATAATCACAAAAAAGATTAGGATTGAAATAGGGTAGGGATTTATCTTTGGTCCACTTTTTAAAGGTCACTTCAATCGTATTTACTTTTTATTTATTCTCTTTATAATTATTTGTAGAAACTTTTAATTATTTTGGTTCCATTGTTATACATATTGGTTGCTTTATATTTCACTTTCTTGTTAATTCACTTATACCTGTTGATTTTATATTTTCTTTTCGAAACATTACTCTCTTCGAAATTCTAAATGAATTTTCTTGCTTTAATCATTACTTCTTCGTTTTTTTATAATATTGATTTCGTAGCTTTATTGGGGTTTTTTAGATATTTTTCGAAATACAGCCACCAGCTGCTTCTTCATGTACTAAAGCCTTTTCCATTTCACTGTCGCACTTGGTAATAATGGTAATTATGCAAATTATAAATTATCATTGCTCTTGTGCTCAGCCAGCCGCGGCCGAAGCTCTCGAACTCTTTCCGAAATTTTCCTAAAAAACGCGCGTGCTTCCTGTTGAAACTGAAGCTGAAGTCTGACTGAAACTGAGCTTGGATTTTGGATTCGATTCGAGCCACAGCTGCTGCCTCTGCCTCGGTCGCAGTCGCAGTCGCTGTCTGCGTCTGCGTCTGCGTCGGCTTCTACTGCGCTGTCGAGTCATTGCCGATGGTGATATCCATACAGTTGCGGTCAAAATAATAGCTTTTCTTTGAGTTTAAAAATTCCAGGAAATATTGATGCTTGTTATTATGTATTTTTGAGGCTTAAACTTGTCAAAGAATTTATGTTTGGGGCTCTTAGGATGAGTATATATTCTCTAACATTTTTATTTATTTTTGAGTTATTTACTTAATTGGTTTAATGTCCCAATGATAATGTCATATATACATATGTATATATACATATATATTAAATCATTTTGTGAAGATATTTTGAGGTGGAAGCGAAACACACAAAACTCTCTAATATCTATTTTTATGTATGTCTCACATATTATTCAATAGTTGAGTGAAATATGTACTCCAATCCACTTTTCAAAAATCAAATAATTTAATTAAGTAAATACTATTTTCAGTTATACTATTTTTCCCGCAATTGTAGATGTTTTTCCTCATTTTCACAGCGCATTTTGGGCCTTATGCTGCGGGGCTTTAGAGCCAATGCAAGCCACCTTGCGCGGAGGGTCGGGTCTTTGGCTCTATCTTGGGTAATTTTTCCATTTTCCGTTTTCTGTTTTCCATTTTCCATTTGTTTCTCAGCCTCTCAGCTGTGTGACCAAAACAATGGAACTGCCACTGCGGTGGAAACGAGACAAGACAGCAGGCAAGGCGGCTTTTGAGGGCTTACTTCGAGTTCGAGTACGAGTCCAAGTACTGGAGCAGTATCACTGAGTTTTCTTTTTCATTTTCCTCGCTTCACTGTTGTTGTTTTTCTAGCATAGAGGTGATTTTCAAAAAGTCACCTGCGATTGGTAGCAGTGATGCTCAGCGGGGCGAAATAATTGGAGAACGCGTAGAAAATGATCAAATGTTAAGGTTAATCATAAAGGAAATAGGCTTTGAATAGGATGAAGATTTTCGCTTTTCTAATAATTAATATAATTATATATTTAACTAAATCCCAGATTAAGAGGAAATACAAAAAATAATTGTAGATTTAATTTAATCCCTGGTGAAGGGGAAAGTAATCCAAGCTTCAAATCAAACACTTCCCTCTAAAAGCATCTAAAGATATGAATTAAATTGAGTCAGACTAAGAAGAGGCTGCAAAAGTGCAAACAGATCTTCACTTTCACAGCATATTTATATATAAAATTAAAACTAATTACCAGATATGAAAATTAATAGAGTATCTTGTGCAAAGCAAAGCTAATTTCATGATCACACACATTTCCCACCTCCAAAGGCCTCCCAGCCAGCTCCAAAGACGTGACTGGGCACCATCTCTAGTGGTGGCTGGTTTTAATTATGTATAACTGTTCCGCGGGGCCAAGGGAGCGCATCCAGAGGAGCACCACCCAGCGCACGAAGGTTATACAATCTTGACACTTATCAGATCGTTTTGCCAGCTTCCTTTCCCTGGCTTCAGTCCAGGTCCCAGTCCCAGACCCGGATGGTAAGATTCTCGGCCAGGCAGCCTAGCAGCTCAGTGGTTCTGAGCATGGGCAGACGTGCGTAGGCCCGCAGATACATCTACAAGATACATCTCATGTGTGGAGCAAATAAATTGCCGAGCGTAACCTGCTTCTAATGATTTATACAAGCAGCTCCGGCGCTGACATAACGGTTTCTCTGGGGTTAGCCTTTTGTTTCTCCCGATATATAAAAAGCAGGGATCCCCAACCCCATCCAGATTCGGCCACCGCCAGAAGCTTCTCTTTTGTGGATGAAGAATGAAATGGTAAATGGTAAATGGGAGCGGTCCGAGACCACAAAAACCCAACCATAATCCCATCCACAACCACTGACATACGCACAAAGCAATTGCAATTAGAAAGCCACGATCCAGAGACCCAAATTCCCGACGAAACGAATAAAGAAAGATCGGGCATTGGAACGCCCACGTAATACGGAAAACTCGGTGCCGCTCTATCTACTCGACTATAGTCGTATTGGACGGTCAGATTATACAATAACTTTCCTCAAAGCCAGCTGGATTATTAAAAAAATTACACTCTAAGCAATTTTCGCATTAAAAAGTTTAATTTACGGAAAAGTAATGACAGGCCATAAATATGCTTACACCCATTAGGCCGGGCTCTATACTCCGCACTCGACTCGCGGGAGACCTCCCAAAAATTAAAAAACGAAACAGAAGCCCACAAAACACAGAAACTATGTACACCAAAAGGTTTAATGTAATATTCGCGTGTTTATAAAACAACTCGGCCGCAAAGACGAAAAAAAAACTGCCGAAATGGCTGGAAAAACTGGACAAAGGCGGTAAGTGCAACTCACCAGAAAGTAAAGAGCTGATATATGGCCGTTCCGAACCTTTTGGGAGATATGTATATATACATATGTGCCATATGGCTATGTGTGTCAACGGACTAATGAGGTTTGCCAGCGTGCCTTAATGTTCGGACTTTTTGGGTACTTTCGTTTTTCAAGCCTGACAGTATTAGACAGGAAATGGTATTTGGCGTTCGGCTTTGCTTGTCGATGGCCGATCATTAGAACCAGGTCTTCAAACCAGATCATTAATAATCTTTACCTGGCTGAAATATCGGCAAATTATGAAATGGAAATGGAAGTCGAGGCAAGGTTAAGCCCACAGAGTCTCAGCCCCAAGGCAAGTTGAGATACTTAAGCCGCATATGTTACTGGGTGGCTTCTACGAATTTTCATTTCATATATTTTCCCTTTTTCTATTTTTCCTCGCATGGAAGATTTATCAAAATATGTGATTGACATGGATTGCTCAAGCCTGGCTTCTTTCGGGCTGAGTCATGTTTTCACTGTGGGAAATATATATTATGAAATCTGGACAGGAAAGTTATTCGAAGAGGGTTTTAAGTTCACATATTGAGCTCTAAAAGCTAGTAACTAGAGATTTCTATATTTATTTAAGTTAAACATTCAATATATCACACAATTTCAACACTCAAAAGCTAACTCTTCAGCTTCCTTAAAGATACAGCTCTCGTATCATTCTTCTTTTAGGTGAGATTCCCATACAAAGTATAGCTCAGGATAATGCCAGCTTACTCCCTCTGGAATTATAAATTCTAACCCCATTGAGTTAATGACAATCTCGGTTAGTTTACACTCCCCACCTGTGTATGCCTTGGAAATGATATGCTCGGACCGACGGCAGTGGTATCCCGACACCATCAGTGACACGGCAATTGGCTGTAACTGTTATGAAACCCCAAGCCAACATCTGACAAATTGCTACCTAGTGCTCTCTCGTAGTGCTTTTGGCCCTATCGTATCATCACATCTTGCTGATTAGAGTTTAATATGCTGCGACTGCGACTGCGACTGCTACTGACTACTGTGAGGCGTCCTCCGTCCGACCAGGTTTCCGCATTCAACCACATCCCATCGCCAATTGAAGAGGTCTCGCGAAGATGATGATGAAGCAGCATCACCAGATGGAGGAGGAGATGGAGATGAAGATGCTGAGATGCTGAGGAAGATGCCGTTGAGGAGAGCAACTGACTTTGCTTCCGTTTGAAGACGGCACCTTCCTCGTTGACGGCAACGCTTCCACGACTTAATTAGTCGCCTGTCTATCCAGATCTATCAGCAGGCTGCTGCCAGTACGAGAGTTTACTATATATCTGGGCAACAGATGCTAACCCCTAAAATCTCCCACACTTTCGCGCCTTTGATTTTCTCCAGCTGCTGTTGTTGGGGCTTTTGCGGTTTCTGGATGATTCTGTTTTGATGGCGACTAGTTAGTTAAGTATAGTTAAGCTAAGTATATAAGTGCACTTTGACAAACACCGAAAAGTATCTCACAGATACGTGGTCCGTAGCCGTGGCGACGATGAAAGTCGAGGCGGAGGTAAAAAGGTAACAACGTTTTCACCTGCCCCACGTCGCCGCATTATTTCTTGTGCCCGCTTTAATGCTGCGTTCGAAATTACACCGAAGATGCTCCGATAGAGACGGCATGCAGGGTTTGTTGCCCTCGCCGAGAGAGAGAGATGGGTAGCCGGAGCCCTCCTGGCCATTGTCATTGACTTTGTTAGCTACAAATTGTTGGGACTGGGGACTGGGGATGGGGCTGCCACTGGCAATTGTGGCGAATTTTTCGTAAATTTTTCCTATTTCAGTTCGTTAGCTATTATTATTTTATTCGCCGTATTGTTGCGGCCCTGCCGCTAATTATTCACATTTTGCGATTTTCACTTTCGTTTCGTTTGTTGTGTGAAATATTTCCAACTGTCATTTGTTTGTTGTTACTCGCATTTCAGACTTTTAATTGCCCGAAAGAGAGATGGCTGGCTGTCCGACAATAAAGTTTCGTAAAATGCCAGTCATATTTCAGTTTCCTGGACAGATTCCGATCGGCAATTGTCTGCGGGATTTCTCAATCGAGCTTGAACTTTGCTTGGAACCTTCGGAACCAACCTCGCTGTGGCACAGATTTTGTATCTGTAAGTGCGCGAAGCGCCGGCTCTAGTCTCGTTTTAATTGAATTAGTCGAGTCTGACTGGGCCGGGCCCGCATTTAATAATTATTCAGCCTCAGCCTCAGCTTCAACTCCAACTCCAACTCCAACTCCAGTCTAAGCTTCGGCTTGAGCTCTACCTGTGCTTGTGCTTGGGTCGTAAAGCCAGTCTCATCTTCTCGGTTTTTGTGGCCCACATCCGGAGCAATCTTGTGCCGAGGGGCTGGCTTGGCTTCCTTCCT